ATGTCAACCTATGAACGCTAAAATTCGATCCTAGTTTTATACTAACTCTTATGCTTATCGACAAAAGGAATAACTAAAAAAAACACATAGATTAACCCAAAGACCAATGGTAAAAATTTTGGACGTATCAAAATTTAAGACTAAATCTTAAAAACAAGGAGCTTACTTGTGGACCATTGGATTTAATTTAAATGGTTTAGATTAAATGAATGCTAATCCATATGAATACAATTAAAACAATGAGAAACGGTTGTTAAAAATGAATACCTGTAAAAGCACAATATACCACTCTTTAGGCTCAAACTAACACACGTCATAACTATACGCGAATATACACAGATATCCACATATGCTTAGACAGATGATATATAATCTCCCAGCTCATTAGTCCTTTCATAATACTCTCTCTCTCTCTCTCTCTCTCTCTCTCTCTCTCTTTCTCTAAAACCCTATCCTCTCACCCTCTCTCTAGAATCTCTAGAAACCCTAGGTCTCACCCACCATCCTTGCTTCCGCCATTTGCTGCAACCTTCACGATATCCTCCATCATCCACCACCAGGTTGTCACAAGAACTTTACCACCCCAAAGAACCTAACTCTACCACTCCACCAACCTCTCTCTCCCTCCACTTTACTATCATTTTCACCACCACCATCAAACAACGCTCACTGCTTCAGCACTATAAGCCACATTCATGACCCTCTCTCTGTACCTTGATCTTTGTCGTTGTGTAAGTAAACACGCACTATCCCTTTCTTCAACATTCAAGCACCAACATCCATCGTGGTGCACATCCGGTTATTTGTTAGGTATGGTTAAGGCATTTTTGTTTTTCCAGTGTTTTTTATCATTCGGTCTCATTTTCATACATTCTTTAAAAACATTTAATCATTTCACGTTTTGACGATGCATCTTTGCAAGAGGTTAGTACTTTTGGGCATATTTCGTGTAGGTTTTACGTTGGCTTACAAGGACTTTGGGGAAGTTGAAGATGAAGTGACTCCGTCCTGAAGTTAAAATAGGTAGTGGATTAGATTTCAATGCTACCACTCAATTGTATTGTGTTTTTTAAGGGTCCAATAGAAAAGAATGGATTATCTAATGTACATAATGCCAATCCTCTATAAATTTGGTTCTAATATTACAAAAATGACCATATTATAGCCCTTGGAGAGTTGTATTATATCTTTTGTTTCAAGTAATATTATTCAATATTTGGAGTTAAATGCATTTGATGTCAAAATCGAAGGACAATATTAGTTTTGTATTCAAATTATAGTGTAATTTAAAATTTTACTTATAATAATTTAAAAATAATAATGAATGACGATTAAAAATTAAAAATGTTCTTAACTCATTAATGAACTTTGATGTAATGTCAATTAATATATATTTTTTAGAATATTTACAACTATTGAATAATAAACACTATTAAGAAAATGTATATATTTAGAGACACTAAGTTGTTTTAATCATGTTTACCAAAATATATAAATATGTACGAAAGTTTTTAAAAATATAAAAACTTGTTCGAAATGTTTAAATTTGGTCAAAAACATTTGAGATATTTTTATGTTATTATTTTAGAATTTGATGTGAAGATACTATCGATATGTCTTAACATGGTTACTAATTTGTAAAGCAAAGGATCGTAGTTTTAAAAAAATACGTAAAGGAGAAAGCATTTTGTATCTGAATTATATTATCAAATTTAAAATATCAACTAGATGTTATTTGTTTACTTGATACAAATATAAGAAACTTAAGGAATTTAAATTTAACACAGATTTTTATAAGATTTTACTCTATTAATAAAATCATAAAATGAATGAGAAGTGAGAGATTATTAAAATAAATTTTTTAATGATAACTTTAGTCTGCAACATCTTGGAAAACGTAGTCTATCACCTCATCTAGAGTAGCTTATACAAAAATGTCACATGAAAAATAAAGGGTAGGTCACGTAAACAATCTTGACAAAAGATGTCAAAAGAAAAACTTAACTATTCAAGTAATAACTTAAATTTAAATATTTAATTAACAGCTTAAAATTAAACATTTAGTTGTAATATTCTTTTTGTAATTATATATATCATAGGAAGAAACATATATAATATATTTGTGTCTTAAACCAAAATTTCATTATAAACAAATAATGTGAGTTTGGTAACGAATGGAAATACTTAATTAGTGAAATAATTAATTTTTCATTTGTATATGTTTTAAAATTAAAAAAGCAAAAAAAATAATATAGTTCAATATATTGTTTAGTACCAAACAAAAATTCTTTTAATAAAATTTTCATATTATTATCATTAGTTAGTTTTTAATATTTCATTAATATGTTAGTTTTATAAAGTTTCGATTATTAAAACAAAACCTATAGTGCTAACCATTAAATCCAAATTTTTCTTTTTTTAGAAAGAGAAATCCAAATTTTTCTTGAGAACAATTTTTTCTTTAAAAGCATATTAGATGGCATATATATTTTTAATTCCTTTTCTACTTAAAGAATAAATATATACCATAAAATTAAATATTTATCTATAAGGTCTTTTTTTAAAACATAGTTTCTTAAAAATATTACAAATTAATTCTACAATTTTGTATATCACTAAAACTTTATATTATTATAAACTAAATAGTAATTAAATAGATTCATAGAAATATATATTTCGACCCCTACATACACTTGACCCCTAGATACACCTGCGACATTCTGTAAAAACACATACTTTTAAACCCCACATACAACCACTGCATTGCATAAAATACAAATATGTACTTACAATATGGATTTATATTTGAATGGAAAATGATATTTACCGATGCATTGCATGTTTTTTAAAATATGACATGAAACTAAGCGTAAATTACACGAATGGTCCCTATGGTTTGGGGTAATTTGCACGCTTGGTCCCTATGGTTTGGGGTAATTTGCATGCTTGGTCCCTAACTTATTTTTTTAACTCGGAAGGTCCCTACTATTTATTTTTGTTACACGCTTGGTCCCTATAGTTTGTTTTTGTTACACGCTTGGTCCCTATCTTACCTAAAAAGACTATTATTTAAATAGGAAAAAATGGTGATGTATGTAAGATAAGGTGAGGGAGGTGGCGTTGTGGGTGTGTTTATCTAAATAAATTAAAAAATCAAGGGCAAAATAGTCTTTTTTAGGTAAGACAGGGATCAAGCGCGTAACAAAAACAAACAGTAGAGACCTTCCGAGTTAAAAAATTAAGTTAGGGACTAAACGTGCAAATTACCCTAAACCATAGGGACCATTCGTGTAATTTACTCTGAAACTAATCATAATATTCTACTTTGATTTGAACCTATTACAACATGACCAACTTATTTATAATACAATTTTTTATTTTTCAAATTCTTTTATTTTATAATATTCGTTGTTTGTCATCTGTTCGGATGTTATGTTTTAACATTAGACAATTGCAAAATGAACTTCATAATTGTTCCCACAGAAAAATCATGCCACCATCGACATTTATGAATACCTAACTAAAATCAAGAACCCTAAGCCCTTAATATTTAGGTTTCTAATATTTGGTTATGCACTTCGAGTCCAGGAAAGCATTTTGAGATTCGAAGGGAATATACTTGACACTTAAAAACTATTCAAGCCCCACTAAATGGAAATTAATCGCCGAAAAGAAATCCTATGACAAAGATAAACTATTCATTGTCCCTGCATTAGCCGTTCACTGCATCGCGCGGGTACCCCACTAGTATATATAGATAGATATATATATATATATATATATATATATATATATATATATATATAACAAAATAATGATAATAAAAATAAATAAAAATTATAAAAATATGTAAATAATTTTATTAATCATAATTAATTTATAATTAAAATCAGAACACAATTAAAAACAGTAATTTATTTTTTCTTTTAATATATATATATATATATATATATATATATATATATATATATATATATATATATATAATGAATAAGAATAAATAAAAATTATAAAAAATATGTAAAGAATTTTATTAATCATAATTAAATTATAATTAAAAATCATAACACAATTTTAAACTGTAATTTATTTTTTTGGTAAAATATTTTTTTGTATTTTATTACGGAAGCATATTCCGTAACTAAATGACTACGGAATATTCCGTAGCCACATAGCTACGGATTTCGATTTTGTAGCTATTTTGCAAATTCAAAAACAACTTAAATACACAAATAACAACGGTTGACATTTCCGTTACTAGTTCCGTTGTAGATTAGCTATCGATTTTTATTGTGTAGCAAATTTTCGTCACAAAGTAGCTACGAATTTCTATTATGTAGCAAACTAGCTATGTATTTTTATTCCGTAACCGATTTTGTAGCCAACTAACTACGAAAATGGATTACGTACCAAGTTCCGTAGCAAACTCGCTATAACCAACAACCATGTAGCATATTTCATAGTAAATTAGCTACAAATTTTGATTTTGTAGCAACAATTCAAGATTTAGCTATGGAAATGCAACTCCGTAGCTATATCCGTTGAAAAATAGCTACTACCAACCATTTTGTAGCATATTCCGTAGTATAATATATAAATATTTATACCAACATAAAGGGTAGCATCCAGCTGTCCAGTTACTCTAATTAGCTCTTAAATCCCCTTTTTTCCTTGTATCTTTTAAAGTTTCAGTCGGAAGTTAGAGCATGACTCGAGACACAGGGAAGCTTAAAAGGAACATTTGCAGACATCCAACCTACAAGGGGTTGATAGAGGTTTTTTTTTTTTTTTTTTTACAAATAAGTTATTGTAGGACAGAGCAAAATACAGGGGGCATATGTGGTGTTTGATGATAACTTATACAAGATGTACAGATGTAACTTGTTCTTTCCTTCCAAGGAAACAAATATACGTTAGTAAATTTTGAGCATAGCATCAGTTTATTAACCCAAAAAAAAAACTATGTTATATGATCAACTTTGTTGTGAAATATGTGTTTTCTGGCAGAGGAGATAAATACATATAAAAAAATACATCCAACCCACTATTGATAAATTTTTGGACATGAACCTTTGGAAGATGTAATTCTTTGGGACAACAAAACACCAAAATGAGCACCTTCATTTCCATTGGAAAATATTAAAAAAAAAAAGGACTTGATTAGAATGGCAAAGCAATAGAGATGAGCAAAGGTCGGCTGAGCTACAAGTGTAAGTCCATTGAGTGATAAAACTTAGAAACTGCCACCTAGAAGGATATTTATTTATGTAAAAACATACTAGAAATAAGCTTGTGACTGTTGGTTTTTGGGATATTAGCCATCCTCCAGTACGTTAGACTTCCTTTGAGAGAGAGCTCTGAAGTATCGTTGCTCATCTAATGAAAGAAATAGATTAAAATTTTGAAATTGATTGCAGAAAATCAAAATATGAGTTATTTATCATCAAAACATTATCAGTTTAGTTACTATCAGCTCTACATAAAAAAATAACTGCATAAGAATGATATCTACCTTTAAAGTGGGCGCCATCTCCAAATAAAGACTCGTATGACTGTATACGCATATCAATTTCAGACACCAGAAATCGCCATATGGTTAGGATGTACTCTCCAGTTGTTAGCTGAAACACAGCAAGATCTCCACCAATAATGTGATTCCAGGACTTATAATAACCCAATGCATCTTCTTCTTCATCCGCGTCTCCATCATCATACACAAAACTTACCCCACACTCAACATGAAATGGTTTTGGCCTCATGCAAATAGTAATATGATCACCACATTCCATCTCATTCATCCCAAACATACAATGGCTTAACAACGTCAAACTCTTTCCAATGACATCGACTCTGCGGATGTAGTGTTGGTATATCCAGGTGCGGTTCTTTGTTATATTACGAATTATTATTACTGGCAAATAAAAGAATTCATAATCCAAAAATCGAGATGTCAGCACACAGCAGAAATTCAATCCTCTGAGTTTTTTCGGAGATAATGGGATGGTAAATGACATTGATGACCCTATGCATCGCTCTACAATCCAATTCGGCATCACTTCGCTTCCATAAATTGTGCTGAATATTCCAAACTCATAATACATCTGCCAAATACAACAACCTTCATTAACTATATATACATGCATAATCATACCAAGGCATATAGTTAACTAGACCAAACCTGGATTTTAGATTCCTCTATTCTATCCTCAAGAAAAGTTCCAATGCGCCTTCCGATAAGGAAGTCTAGCTTAGCCCAGCCGAAACTACGTAATACATTTTCCTCAACACCTTCCATTGGTTGGATTTTTATCATGCCTTAAATTTCAAATGACGAAGGTGCTAACATCTTCCATTCTACTAAGAACAAGAGTGGGGACATTTGTGGATCAAATACAACTTTCCGTAGCAAATGCTTATTAGAGACAAAATAGAGGTCCAAATATGTTAGTGTGTGTGGAGGATGCTCTACTGACGTCAACATACTACAGTTTACCATACTAAGCCAGTTAATCCTAGGAAGGCTTCTCACACAACTAGGCAAGGAAACAATAGGATTACCGTCTAAATATAATCGTTTTAACATGGATAGCCAACTGAAGTCCATGGGAAAGGATTCAGTAGACATATTATTATTTGCAAGTGACAACTTTACTAAAGATCTTGGTAAAGAAATCGTAAAGAACTTCAAATCACTTGGTATACCCTTGAGAATGTTGTCAGCCTTAAGCTTTTCCGTTGAATCCATATCCCTAATCTTAATTCGAGATTCACCAAGACTACATCCCTTTAACAACAATGTTTTAACCTTTTTTAACATTCCTATGGTTCTTGGTAGTTTTCCAAGCTTGTTGCAGTAGCTTGGAACGACAAGCACAAGTTAATCACATTGTTCAATTGATTCAGAAACATCAAGCAAACCAGTGCAACCTCTAAGTATTAAACTCTCAAGCCTAGGGAGACGGTCAAAGCCACCAATACGACGAAGTTGTTCACAGAAAATTAAATTAAGAATCTTCAAGGATCCAAACAATCTTTTGTCTTTTGAGCACGATCCAATTAAGTGCTGAAACCGAAATAAGTTAGAATTGTAATGAATGTTAATATGTCATCAACTCGAAATACAAAAGTAACAAATAGAGATAAGTTACCTTTAGCCTTTTATGAAGTCGTTGTGGATAACTGTAAAAAATCCCAAATGATTCAATATTGCCATATGACATGTCAAGAGCAACCAAATTCTCTATCGGTAAGTCTGAAGGTATAGACTTCAAAGGGAACCCATGCATACACAACCATCTTAATTCTTTTGGAAAATTCTTATAAGAGTCGGTTATTTGTACATAATTGAGTTGAAGAAGCATTAGCCTATCCATCTTACTCAATGTATCCGTTCTCAACTCAAGTGATCCATGTAACTTCACTTTCTCAAGCATTCTCATGTCAAGGGTGAGGCCTAAAACACTTTCTGTACCCTACAAAGAAAGGGAATGAAAATGTAATTTAAAATGTTATAAACAGGTATATAGAAATACAAAATGCATTAAACAAGTATATATAGGTCATCTTACCTTTTTTTGTTTCAACACTTTGAATGATTCATGACCCCATAAATGACTTCGTTCCCATGGCTTGTCAAGTGATTCCTTACGTACTATGAATCTTCCCATCTCTTGAACTAACTGATGCATCATCAATTCAATATTCATCAATTCTTTATTCCATCCAATACTAAGAAGGCATCTGTCAATAAGATTCGTGATCCCGGACCTGGTCTCTATATCACATGCCTCTAATATTGTTACAGTAACATCTCTATGCATTCCAACAAAAATACAAGCAATATACTTAAACAACTCCTTATCATTTTCTGATGGCAAAGAGTCGAAGCTTATTCTCAAAACATTATTTATAGGGGAATCATTTTCTTTCTTTAGCCTATCTATGTACCCCTCCCAATAACTTACATCTCGATTATGTAAAGACCTACCCAAAACTTTAAGTGCCATTGGATGTCCTTCACAATACTTTACAATTTTTTTTGACACGTCTTCACAACCATCCTTGGGATCACTGCACATGAATGCATGAAAACACAAATTTTTTTGTGAATCGATCTCAGATAAGCCTTTAAGCTCGTACATTGCTTGCTTGGGTTTAATGTTCTTTTTGAAAAGTGCACAACTCTCTGTCAACCATGCGTCCTTTGTACTTATTATGATTTTGCTTCCTGGATGAAAACCTTTGCTTCCAAGTAATGCATCTAACTGATCAAGACTACCAATATCATCAAGAACTAGAAACACTTTTTTTCGGGATATTGCATGCTCTATCATTAAGGTGTATATAGAATCATCATGAACTTGAACTGAACTTGATTTTGAAATGTCATCACAGAGTTCTTTTTGTACATCAAGCAGTCCATTAGATTTTTCAACACATCTCCTATTGATATCTTCAATAAAGCTACTGGTGTCAAATTCATGAAAATGTAACACATACACATATTTCGCTAAAGATGTCTTACCGATCCCACCCATACCCAAAATAGTTAGTATATCTATTGTATTTGATGATGCATCTTTCAACCACGAAGTGACGACTTTAATGGAATTGTCCATCCAAATCAGTTGTGGTAGTGGAAACTTTGAGGATATGTGCAATCTACGGAAGATATTGTTAACAATTTCATCAATAAGCTCCACCTTTAGCCTGGAAATTGATTTTAGTAAGAACCACAAAACACAATCCAGAAAACTAACATTCCATATTGGAGATTTAGATTTTTTCCAAAGATACAAAACAAAATTATATCATATTAAGCTATTATTTAATTAAGTTTTTGACAACATAAATATATCATATTTTCACTTCTAAACATATAAGCATCTAATGTGGAAGGTTATACTTATTATTTATAATAAGACCAAAGCCTCCGATGTAAGAGAAGATTTCATTAATGGGCCACCAAATTTCATTAATGGGCCACCAAAGCCTCCGATGTAACAGAAGATTTCATTAATGGGCCACCAAACTTCTAACCATATGAGCATCTAATGTGGAATGGTGATTAATCATCAACCTTACAGATTTTGAACTTAGAGTACAGTGTAAGTGACGCAAAATGAAATTAAGATTACATGGTTTTTACAGATGCTATAAGAAAAAAAATTCGTAATAGAAATATTTGGGTGTCAAAAGTACACCTCATGTGCGTCACCAAGTATGCCAGACTTCTTTTGAGATAAAGTCTAAACCACATGTACTCATCTGATGATAAAAGATAAAAAGTAATACATTAATTATTATTCACATACATCCACTTGCACAAATTGTTCTTTTAACATGCGGATGTTGTTATGTGAATAGACAAGTATTTCTCGTTAAGAAAGATTAAAAAATCAATAAATAAATAAATAAATCCATGTATGATATTAGATAAAATAATAACAAGCATGACAAAATAATTTGTTTATGGCGTCTACCTTTATAGTTGGAACCATTAACCAGTTGACGAAGAAATCCATTTAATTCAAAGCCATCCCGCGTAAAACCATGGGTGTGCAATATGTATTCTCCTGTTGTTGTCTGAAATCCGGTCAAATCTCCACCAATAATGTGATTCCATGACTTGTAATAATCCAGTGCATCTTCTTCTTCCTCTGTGTCTCCATTATCATACATAATATTAACTCCACACTCTTTAGTAACTGGTTTATTATTATCAGAAGTAAATCGTTTCTGCCACACGATAATATTAATTTTGTCACCACATTCCATCTCATCCATCCCAAACATCCAATGGCTTAAATATGTGAAACACTCTTCACCCACATGGACAGTTTGAATGTAATGTTCGTATATCCAGGTGAGGTTCTTTGTTATATTACTAATTTTGATCACGGGCAAATATTTGACATTAGCATTCAATGCCATCTGCACATAACAGAAACTCAATCCTCTGAGGTTGTTAGGAGATGATGGGATGGTAAATGATATTGATCGCCCCATGCTTCTATTTGTAATCCAACTCGGCATCTCTTTGCCTCCATAAATTGTGCTAAATATTCCAAATTCATAATACATCTGCCAAATACAACCACCTTCATTAATTACCATAATAATTATATATACATACATATTTACACAAAGACAGATTGTTAACTTAGAGCAAACCTGAATTTCAGATTCCTCTGGTCCTCTAAATAATGTATCAGAGCAAACTCGGATTTGTTTCTTATGGAAGTGTAGCTTAGCCTAGCCTAAATTACGTAATTCTCTTCCCTCAACACCTGTCATTGGTTGGATTTTGATAATCCCTTCAAATTCAAAAGACGAAAGAGCGCACAACGTGTACCCTGATAAAATCCTAAGTGGGGACATTTCTGGATCAAATACAACTTTTCGTAGCGAAGGCCGCTCTTTAGAACGATGAAAAAGTATGAAAATTTTTAGTATATGTGGAAGATGCTCAACGGACGTCAACATGTTACAGTTACTCATAGAAAGAAACTCAATCCTTGGAAGGTTTCTCACACAGTTGGGCATGGAAACAATAGGATTGTTATCTAAATCTAAAGCCTCTAACATGGATAGGCAACTGAAGTCCATGGGAAAGGATTCGGTTGACAAATTATTATTTTCAAGTGACAACACTACTAAAGATCTCGGTAAATGAATCGTAAAGAACCTCTGATCCCAGAAAATCCTCTTCAGTTTGTTATTATCTCATAGAGGGTACCAGAGTTTAACATGAAACAAGAGATAAATGCGCCATACCTCCCTGTTGATAACTGAATTGTTATTGGCTTTAATGTTATCATCAGCAGCTGTTGAAGTTCAGGCAAGTCATGATGGTAGGCCTTTATACCACGGAATTTGAAGAGGCATCAAACTTTATTTTCCCTTTATTTTGACACTGGGAGCTTTCATTTGGTCAACTATTTAAAATCCTATGTATGCATGCACTCTGTGCCTCTGTTGCTGCATCTTTGGTGCTTATTTCCAATTACATGCTGTCTCTGCCACTTGCTATATGCCAGAGCTTCTGAGCTGGATTATATATTACCTTATCTCAACATGATGCTCGAGCAAATTGAGGTGGGCCTAGTTGATGCAGCTTGAGAGCCAACGTTAGCAGAAAGAAAACCCTGAAATTAAAATCTACCATAAAAGGGTTTACAAAGCGTTTGCAAATCTGTTTTCAGACCTTATCTGAAAAAACACCTTAAGATGTGTCGGAAATAGTAAGGCTCCTCGAGAAAGGGTTTTCTGCTTCGGAGGAGGTGATTGCACCTTGCATGAAGATGGATCTAGAAGCGGAATTTGAAAGGGCAATGAATGAACTTATCGTTTTCACCCTCTTTGCTTCATCAATGATTCGAATATGGAAGTTAGTGTTATCTGCGGGTGATTGCCTCATCAACGATTTCATCCTTATTGCTATTCTTCCTGAGACAATGACAAGGATTTACACTCTGCAGCAAAGAAAAAGCCCCTTCACAGGATGTGAATATGATGATGGAGACCGGGGAGTAGCGTTTCGCCGGAGGTGTGACTTCCACCGTCATGGAGCCGGGGAGGATGGGATTGGGAGGGGAGGAATAAACAATAAGCAAAGGGGAGAGATGCTTATTAAAATCAACTTATTTAGCTTATCCCTACCACAATAAACTGATTTTTAAGGATTTCTATCCAAACACTTAAACATAGCTTATTGTGGTGAGAATAAACAATAAACAATAAGCACCCTCTTTTTTCCCTATCCAAACACCCAAAGAGTTTATCGGAGGGAAAGCGCTTATTTTTTAATAATAAATAGGGTGTTTGGGATTGCTTATGCTCTTTTGGCAAGAGCTTACTCATTTATTTATTAGTTTTTTTAAAAGATAATAAGGTAAAAAAAATATGTTTGGCTTATCATGTTTTTTAAAATGAGTTTTTTAAACTTTTAAAAATATATTTTTAAAAAGTTATGAATTTATAAATTTTCAAAAGTGTTTATGACTTTCATCTAAAATAACTATAAACTAATTGGAACATTTTTTTTAATTTAACTTCTCAACTTATATCCTTTTTACATCACATAATTTACTTCAAGTACTTTTTAATAAAAATATATTTTTGTCATCATACAACTTAACAAACATTTTTGACCAAACACCCTCAAACAATGTTATATACTGATACTTAGGGTGTAAACGAACTGAACGTTCGACGAACAGTTCGACGAACAAGTATACATAATCTTTTACCTTTTTTTGTTTTAACACTCCAAATGACTCATGACCCCATAATCGACTTCGATCCCATGGCTTGTGAAGTGATTCTTCACGTACCACAAACCTTCCCATCTCTTGAACCAATTGATGCATCATCAACTCATTATTCCATCCGATACTAAGAAGGCATTTGTCAATGAGATTCGTGATCCCGGTTTTTGTTTCTTTATCACATGCCTCTAATATTGTTATAGTAACATGTATATCCATTCCCACAAAAATACAAGCAATATGCTTAAACAACTCCTTATCATTTTCTGATGGCAAAGAGTCAAAACTCATTCTCAATACATTATTGATAGGGGAATCATTTTCTTTCTTTAGCTTGTCTATGTACCCCTCCCAATAAGTTATATCTCGATTGTGTAGAGACTTACCCAAAACTTTAAGAGCCATTGGATGTCCTTTGCAATAATTCACTAGCTCCTTTAACACCTCTTCGAAACCCGCCTTGGGATCGTTGCACATGAATGCATGATAACAAAAAAGCTTCTGTGATTCGATCTCAACTAGGCCTTCGAGCGTGTATGTTGCATGCTTGGGTTTAGCGTTCGTTTTGAATAGTTCACAACTATCTGTCAACCATGCGTCCTTTGTTGTTATTACGATTTTACTTCCACGATGAAAACCTTTGCTTCCAAGTAACACATCTAATTGGTCAAGACTACCAATATCATCAAGAACTAGAAATACTTTTTTGCGGGCTACTGCACCCTCTATCATTGTGG